CGCCAGAAACCAGCTCTGGGACTTGTAGAGTAGAGGCCAAAAGAAAGGTTCAAAACCAGGATTTGATGTTCTGTCCATAGATCCAACCCGCCAAGAACCAGGTCTGGGACTTGTAGAGTAGAGGCCAATAGAAAGGTTCAAAACCAGAATTTGAGGTTCTGTCCATAGATCCAACCCGCCAGAAACCAGCTCTGGCGCTTGTCGGGTAGAGGCCAAAAGAAAGGTGCAAAACCAGAATTTGAGGTTCTGTCCCTAGATCCAACCAGCCAGAAACCAGCTCTGGGACTTGTAGAGTAGAGGTTATCTAACTTCAAGAGCTTTGTGAGGTGTGTTTCTGAAAATGTTGACGCGTACATGGTGTTGTGGTGTGGCGATGAACTTGACGGAGCGACGGTGAACATGACGATGACGTCGACGATGAACTTGACGATGTTTTTTTTGCGGCGATGACATCGACGATGAACTTGACGGGATGGTGTTTGATGACGATGAAGTCGACGATGAAGTCGACGATTAACTTGATTGACGGCGATGACATCGACGATGAACTTGACGGGATGTTTTTTTGACGACGATGAAGTCGACGATGAACTTGACGGTGTTGGGTATTCAGTTTTCGTGGGCAGCGGAGGGCAAAGCTAGCCTTTAGATGAGAGTTTGATACCCTTGGCATCCTAAATAGCGGGGATGTGTTTTTCCTTGAGCAAACCACATCGGGCGCTTTACCAGTCACAGTTTAGCCTGTCACCAGCAGAGATGCTGGCTCAACACTACAATGTGCGCAGAATAGAGGCAAGACACATGAGTCATAGTTATTCAGGATTCAGGAGTCAAATACTTAAGTATAATAATATATATATATATATCAAAAAAACTCAAGTTTTTTTGAGCGACAGTTTCCTATGCTGTGCTTGGATGTGTGCTACCATGAACTACCTAGTTTTAGGTATTAGGTGCTGTCGCACGTGCTTGCTACATGGCCATGAATGGACGGCAATGGTCAGCAAGGCTGGCCAGGATATGTGCCCTGGCTTTCATTCAAAGACAAGAAGGGACAACTGGTGTATTTGCATGTATTTGCACGTGTTGTTGGATGGAATCTTAGGGCACCAGCTACAGGGCCCCCCAGCTCTCCTTGAGGCAAACGCTCACGAGCAGACGGAAGACAAAAGATGCAGATACGCAAGAAAGCAAGGTGGGTCATCCGGGTGTTGCAGAGCTTGTCCAGGGCAATCAGGTAGGGCAATCGGGTGTTGCAGAGCTTGTCCAGGCCATTCCCCCAGCACATGCGTCAACAAGTGTATCTATCGATCATGTTAATATTTGCACGGGTTCCGCCTCCGATGAGGATGAAGGGAAGAGAAAGGAATTTGAACTTAAACAACATGTAACATGCAAGATCGGCATCAAGGCAGCACCAAAACGGAGCAACATTATCCCAGCTTGACTTGTATCGTTGCCGCCTCTGGACACGGGATTGACTTTTCGCGGGCTCCTGAGGTCCTGGCCACCCAGAACTGCGTTGACAACTCGATCGCCGGACAATCCGAAAATAGCTCCAGTCATGTATGCACTTTTGTCGTGATCCTGAAAAGGACGTGAGGAGAGATGTGAGGAGAGATGTGAGGATGTGAGGAGAGGAGAGGAGAGGAGAGGAGCGAAGCATGCGACGCGTTTCATGGACAATTCGGTCCCCCACCCCAAACGGGAAGGCTGTTTGAGGGAGACTGGCCTCCAAAAGAAATAGTGATAACTAACCGAAAAGGCCTTTATTAAGCACGCCCTCCGGTTTGGTGAATGGCGACAGAGCGAGCCTGTTTCCGGCAAGAGCTGACTGACTGACTGACTGACTGGACTGGACTGGATTGGATTGGATTCGCTGACTGACGGACTGACTGACTGACTGACGCGACGGTCCTCAAAAGGATCGATCTTGGAAACTGATGCTTCTCAAGTTCGATCAATTTGCCTTGCATTGTTGTCGCAAATCCTGACAATGATGCATGAAGAGGAGGTGAGGAGAGGAGAGGAGAGGAGGAGGAGGAGGAGGAGAGGGGAAATGAGTAGGAACTGCTTATATGCGCTCCACTCGCCATGATGCGTCCACATGGGGTGACCTATGCCGCGTGCCCTGTACACTTTATAGTCAAGTAGAAGCCTTGCAAATGCACCGGGCCATACCTCTCTAACCGGCACGAAAGCGTATATACGGATCTCCGTGTGGAGAGGGCGGCTTTGGACTTTGGACGCGTTTTGGGATTTGCGATGGGGGGTTGGTAAAAACAAACCGTGCCATTAGATCATCCAGTGGTTGATGGATTCGCATGTGGGGGTTGCTGCACGGCTGCACCTGGTTTTCAAGATGTGTAAGCACCAGTGTGGAGGGGCCAAATCAAGCTTCGGGATGCAGTGCAGGTCCGTGCTGAAACATTTGAGTCGAGGTAAACTGTCTAGCAACCCAGGGCCAGGGGGAAAACACAAGACCCGGACTCTAACTATGACCAATGACCACATCACATCAATCAATATTATGAAGTAGAGTTGAGACGAAAAAAGAAATCACTCAAATGATTTCAAATGACACGACTACAAACTCAATCCAAATGCAGACTGTATAAACGGTGGTGTACGGTGTAAGTAAGTTGCAGACTGAAGACCGGGTCAGGTGAGAGAACTAGTGCTACAAACCACAAACTGTATACTGGGTCCATGTAGGAAGCAAAGTGGGATGGGCAGATGCAGCGACTGATTTCACTGTACACTTGGCAAGGCAACCCTTGACAAGCCTGAGCCGGTGATGTCAAAGTCGCCCTGAAAGCTTTTCGGGCTTTGAATGTACTAGTTTGTGCTGGGTTCCGTGTGATGTACCTGCTCATGTCAGTGCAAAGAACACCGCTGGACGTTGACGTTGATGAGATGTTTTCTCTCAACACGGTCGCGTATCATTACCGACGGCCTACACCATCCAAATTATTACGATTCGATTCCTATATATACGATCGAACACACCCCGCATTTTGAATGACATACTGCTGCATGCACGCAGCATGTACATGCTCCGTGTACTGAATGTAGTAACGTTTCTCAGCCAAAATTTCTAATTTCCTCGTGGAGCTTACTACCAGGACCAGGACAATGACAAATTTGTGGGGGTCCAGGTACGGTTTCGCGTCCTGTTAACTAAACAGGAAGCAACCAGATCTGTATCACCGCTATCATCGATGTGGGAGATACGCTTGTGCCAGGCAGGTGCTCGTGAAGTTTGAGAACCATCACGCTATGAAGTGGTCGGAGGTTTCATCTGGGAAAGTGCGAGGCACGGCAAAAAAGAAGAATGGAATTGGAATGGGAAACTTTAAGTGTGACCATCCATGAAGTGAGTGGCCAACACTGACCATGACAGGCAAGGGAAACTACCGAAAGCTCCTACCGAGAGCGCTCTTGCGGCTAGCGTTTCCAGGTTGCAGCTCAGTTCATTTAAATTGAGATTCATTAGGCGCAAAACGATTGACACTCAGACCTGCTAACATGCTGCTGGTGGTATGATGTTTGTTGATGATTATTGATGCCTGTTGGCACACAAGCCAGCCCATGCTGTTTATACTGGCCCATACTGACTTGTATGTCTCTTTCTTCTAGAAGGTTCTGGAAAAGTGTTCAAAAGAGCGGGGAAGAAGCATAATGCCAAGGGACTGTGCTTTGTGAATTTGGAATATGATATGGGGACCAAAAGGGGTTAGTCGGTATATTTTTCTTTACTGTGTTCCTCTGTTCTTCTTCATCAATTCTGAATATGATATGATTCTGCTGGATACGATACAGTTGATGATACAATATGTTTATTGATATTATATGATATATATGTTTATTTGCGCTTTACCCTTCTCTGCAGGTTTGGGCACTCAAGCTTGTCCGCAGTGGCTACGAAGAGAAAGTCGCCCTGCATGTACTTGCTCAATGCTCTGAGCTATTGGATGGAAAGCTCAACTTCACACATAGCGAGAGCCAGCAACCCAAGACAAACGCAAACCTAGTTCAGTTTTTGTCAGCTGCAAACATAGTGATAGTGATAGCCTTGAATCTCTCTACTGAGTCTATACTTAATATTACATAGTATATGAGGTGATGCAATATGATATGATATGATATGCTATGATATGATACGATATGATATGACTACTAAGAAATTGTTCCGTGACACAACAACGTTTGAAGCAGCTATATAATATAGCCTATAGCTATAATTCCTGCTGCCCACATGTACCACAGAAAGAGTTCTGCGTGGGGGTGCAACGCAAACTGGTGAGTGCTTGTGATCGCAGGGCTGCAAGAGCAGCCACAGAGTAGAATCCCACCCGCCCACCCAGTTTGTGCCTATAGGCTCATGGGCCTAACAGGATGTTTGCAAAACATCTGTGCTTGGGGTTACAATACAGACTGGTGAGTGCTTGTGACCGCAGGGCTGCAAATATAGAGCAGCCACAGAGTAAATCCCACCCGCCCACCCAGTTTGTGCCTATAGGCTCATGGGCCTAACGGGATGTGCGCAAAACATCTGTGCTTGGGGTTACAATAAAGACTGGCGAGTGCTTTTGATCGCAGGGCTGCAAATATGGAGAAGCCACAAAGAAGCTTCCCACCCACCCAGTCAGTTTGAGCCCATGGCCAGCGAAGGTGTCAGCGGCGCATTGCATTTAGGTCCTTTAGCTTTGGAGGCACTGCGCAGCTTGGAATGCTGGGCATGATTCTATAGCGCT